AGGAAGAGGACTAATTAATTCATCACAAGGACCAGGTGAACTAGAGGGGCAAGCCCTCAGTCTTTGCTCTGACTCAGCTGTGACAAGCCACCAAGGTCCTAGGCACCCTTTGTTTCTTCCTCTCAGATAAGCAAGAGCCCTGCACTGGAGAATTCCCCAAAAGCTTTGAAATGCAACCAAAAGCGCTTATAGGGTGCCTTGACCTCAGCCATGGCCTGGGAAGGCACATGATCTGTCTGTGCTGATCTTAGCAAATAGAGATTCTGCTTTTTGAGGGTGTGAGCTTCTTGGAGAGCAGCTCATGGTTTCTGAACACCTTTCCTATTTCTGGGTGGTCAGCTGCATGTGTGAAGACACTGGCCAACCTGTCTTGCTCCCCATGGTCTCCCCAAGACTATGGGAAGTAGTCAGAGCCCAGCACATATTTTCTGAATGAATGAACCAATGTATGAGTGTTTGTTGAACTGAGCCTGAGATGGATGGCCTTGTAGCATTATTTCACCTGAGTCTCCATGTTTTTGCTTGAAGAGTAAAACCACCTTGTCAGCTGTCACAAGTCTCAGTTGGTCTGCCTTATAAAGCCATTTTGAGAACAAGTAAGCAATACCGATCATGATAATTTGCTTTTTAGGGGTTGCTTTCTATATTCTGGGTTTTGTACCAAGAATTTTCGATGCATTAATATGTCCCAAGATCCCTAAGAGGGAGGCCACCTCTTTGGGGGCAACGACAACATTTGCAGGGCCCAGTGCAAAATGAAACGTAAGACTCTTTGTGCAAAAAGTTTTACAAACTTCAAGATGGCAACAACAGAGTGCTAAATGACATGTGAAGCCCTTCTGAGTGTGGCCTCCTCTGCAGCTGCAGCTGCAGATGTCACATGTCACATGAAGCCAGCTCTGACTATGGTTCCCTATTTGCAAACTATTTAACTGAGGCATGAAGTTCACACTCCTACAAGGTCACGGGCAACTAAGAGGCCCAGGTAGTTAGCCAGGCAAAGTGCAGTATGCCTGTAATCCCAGCAATTTGGGAGTCTGAGGCAGCAGGATTACAAGTTTTAGGCCAGCCTCAGGCACTTAGCAAGGCCCTAACTTACTTAGTGAGACACTGTCTGGGGACAAAAAAAGAAAGTAAGAAAGAAAGAAAGAAAAAAAAAAGGCTAGGGATGTAACTTAATACCTTTACAGGGAGATGAACCATGCATACATAAAAGTGCTGCATAATCATAAAGTGGTGTTATTATTTTTATTTTACCAAGGGTGATGGACAAAAAAGAAGCAATTGCCATTTTCTCTCTGAAGCTTTAGTTGCTACCAGCAGACTGGGCCTGGGGTGGCTCTTCATTCTTACACAAGGCACTCACTCCTGCCCTCTCTCCTGTCCTCATTTAGGGATCATAAATACGACGACGACAGATACTGATTGGTTTAGGGCCATCAACATGAGTTTACAAAAGGGGGAGGTCATGCCTAATCAGCATGATTAATATGGCCTGTGAAGTGTCTCTGAGCTGCGTGCAGGAAGACAGGAGTCAGAATTTGCCTGGGTGCTGAGGAGGCTCTTGTTGCACAGAAGGCAGGCAAAGCAGTGGAGATGGAATTGGGAACTGGTGGTGAGATATTGATCGAGAGTGCAAAACGAGTTTGTTAAAGGTGGCTTCAAGTCTAGGAGATGAGCAGTCCTGATTTACTGGAGAATTCTTTAGAATCTCTCACCCTGCCGGTTACCTGAGGAATGGAGCCTGGTCCTGGAACTCTCCCCAAAGGCTTTGTTTTTGTGACGATTCCTGGTCCCTCACTTTGGTTTGGGAAAGAGGGGTACTATCCTTACGGATATTGAATTCCTAATGTACTTACAGCTATTTTAAAAACCTACCTACACAAGATGTACAAGACCTCTTTTAAATTCTCGCAGAGAAAAAAACAACTGCTTTAACCCAAATAAGGCTATAGAGGTTTAATATAGCAACTCAATGGAGCCAAGCAAGGGGCGTGCTTTAGGATGCTCCAACCCTGCCCATTGGTTTGTAGGGATCAAAGGTTACCCCAAAGAGAATACATGAGGAGGGCTCCAGAGGAGGGCACATGAGCTGACCGCTGATCTTAGCAGAAAGAGACTCTGATTGAAATGGGCATCTGCACCTAGACCCAGAGCCAGCCAACTTTCTTCCACAAAGGACCAGATACCTTTAGGCTTTGTGGGCCCTAAAGCCTCTGTTGCAACCACTTGACTCTCCAGTAACAGTGTGAAGAAGGCCAGGATGATATGTAAATGAGTGAGGAAGCCTGCATCCCAATTGGATGGGTTGATTTGGCCCGGGGGCCACAGGTTGCCAAGCCTTGGTCTAGACTGTCTTTCTGTAGTCCTCAAACTTGAATGTACCTGGAGGATTGGTGAGGATGGATTTAAAGAGTCAACTGTGGTCTAAATGGTCTTGGAAAGATGAATTTTATTAATGTAATTTTGTAAAGATTTTGTATCCAACCCTGGCCTAACATGTTGTGTGATTTTTTTTTTTTTAATGACTGAGAATATCAAATTTGCAAAAAAGGGGAATTTGGTACTGGAGAGGTTAGGTCACTTGGGAATCATAGAGCTAGGATTTGAACTCTTGTCTGTGTTTTTAGAACTTCTCACAAAACATCTAGAATTGACTGGTCTAGAAATATTTTAACATAGTGCTCAGTTAGGCACTGGATAGAGACTTTTTTGGTGATTTTCATGATGTGATGAGGAGGAAGGAATAGGAATTGTGTTTACTAAGGGAGGGTACAAGAGGCAATAGCAGTGTCCAGACTCCAATTAATTCCTCTCCGCTCTCCTCCTCTTTCCCACTTCCCTGCAATATAAATCCTTTAAAATATAATGATGTTTTCAGTGGACCTAGGCATTTTTATTAGATGTCAGGATAATATTTGGCCAAAGTCATGGGACTCACATTTCTTGACAAGGTATGATGTCATTTAGAAGTTCATGTTCTTGACATTGTTTCAAAAGTCCTGTTAAAAAAAGCTAAATATGTTTTTATAGGCTCTCATGGCAGGGAAGCAGCCATGGTAATGCATGGTCATATCAATTAGAAGTGGATTAATTAAGCAATAAGACAGGAGCAGCAGTGCATTTCAGAGAGGTATTGCACGGCTCATAGAGTGCCACTGAGGCATCCAGCCAAGAGTCGGGTGACTTCCACTGGCCAAAGCATTTCAGCCATCCAAGACGTGTATTGCTCTCCCAGAAACTGTACCCGCTGCCATCCATTTCCACCATGAGAAATAAAAAGACCCTCTTATTAACTAGGTGTTATTAGGCACGGGCAAATTGACAGCCATTTCATTATTTCATAATTATGATTAATGGCCTTCCCAATGAAGTCATCGTCCGCTATCCCAAAGCCAATTGGTCCCTTTTGGGACAGTGTCACCAAGTCATGGTTAATGTTCCTGGAAGCATGGAACACATCGAGTTTCACAAACCCTGGGGAGGGAGGGCAAATCCTAATTGCCTTTGGAGACCATTTGCACGGGAAGCTGGCCTCTTCATAGGAAAGCAATCTCTGAAGAGACCGCGGGGGTGGGGGGGTTGTGGGGGGCGGTGGGGGGAGGATGGTGCATGAGCATGGAGTGAGGAGGAGCAGCTGCAGCAAGAGGTGGGTGGTAACTGCCAAGAGCATGCAAACCATACTTTGCTCTCGCTGAACACATTTGCATAGATTTTTCATCAGAGTTCCTTAATAATCCTTTGAAGTGAATATTGCTTCATGACTATGGATGTTAAAACAGATTCAGAGAGGTTAGGCAATGGGCTGAGGTCACAGAACTATGATATGACAAAGTTGGCATTCCAACCTAGGACTTTAGACTAAGGGAGTCAACCTTAGGATACTGGGTGAAAAAATCTACCCATCTGATTAATGGGAAACCACTCTTCACTTTTTTTTTTCCTGTTTGGGCATTCCAGAAATGCAAAGATGAATAATCAGGTTATAGAAAGTGTTATGATATGAGTTGTGTCTTTCCAAGATGCATATATTGAAGTCCTAATTCAGGACCCTTTGAACATATGATTAAAGTAAAATGAGTTTGTATATGACTGGTGTTCTTAAAAGGAGATAGGATACAGACTCATACAGAGAAAAGACCATATGAACAGAGAAAAGACATCTGTCCTCCAAGGAGGTGATTGCTGCCACCTTGATCCTAGACTTGTAGCCTCCAGAACTGTGAGAAGTAAATTTTATATTGTTTGAACCACTGAAACAGTGGTATTTTGTTACTGCAGCCATAGCAAACTAATACTGACCGAGAGTGATACAACCCAAAGTAAAACATGACCAGAACTAGAAGGAAAGGGCCAGATAATAAAGAGAAAATAAAAACCATTTTTTGCTTGGACATTCTGGTAAATGTTAAATGTCAATACCCCTTGATCCAGGTTTCTCATATTTAGAATTTTGTCCTAAATAGTAAGATAAGTTTGTTTAGATATATTTAAGGCAGTGACGAATTTAGGATCAAAGAAAACTGAAAACTATCTAACTTTCCATTGGTAGAGAACTTGTTTAAGAAAATATGGCACATTGATCCTATGGAATATAATGAATCACCAGACAAGGACAAAGTAGATTCATTAGTATTAATAAGAAAGAGGTCTACAGTATGTTAAGGAAGAAAAGATGATCATATTGGAGGATTCCATTTATCTGTACTTACATCTGTAGAGTACCTGGACTGATGCTCATCAAATTGTTATTAGTAACTTCTCTGGCTGTGTGTCCTTATAGGGGGACATTGACTTTCTACTTACTTGGGTTTGGGGAAAATATGAGCCCTGACAAGACATCTCTTTAAACTTTCTCCTTCATGTTCTAGAGAGGAATACATAAGCATGTGAAAAAATAAAGCAAAAATAATCAACATGGAGTGCTAAGTGCTTTACCCAAAATAACTCATTTAATCCTCTAAAAGGCTCCATGAGGGTACTAATATGAGTCTCAATTTACAGATATGGAGATGAAGTCAAGCCCCGAGAGGACATGTGTATCAGTTCCACCAAGTTTGCCCAGCTAGCAAGTGACTGAGCTGAGATGTGAATCCAGGTAATCTGGTTTCAGAACTTGTTACAATAGCTAAGAAGATGCATGCTCTTTAAAGGAATTTTATTATTCAGTGAGCATTTATTTGAGGTCACCATACAGGTGGTAGTGCTGGTATAATGATAATGACAGCATTTATGGGTCATCGATTTATGCCAGACAATTTTTCTTTTGCATCATTGAATCTTAAAAACAATCCTAAAAAGAAATATTATTAATATTCCCATTTTATTTTTCCAAATGAGAAAGCCAAGGCTCAGAGATATTAAGTAACTTACCAAAGGTGACATAACTGGTTAGAAATAAAATTGGAACACAGAACCAGGCCTGATTTGTAACCTCTAAGCTCTATGGGCTCCTGAGGAGCTAGACAGCTCCAGTCACACCCGCTCTGCCCACCCTCAGGATTTGGAGTGGGCGGAAACCAGGTTACCATACATCAGCGACAGCTTGAAGGCTGAATCAGTGGCAGCTCTCAGCTTTTCTTAGAGCTGCTGGCTTCTCCCTGCTTTCTGGGTCATGCAACTCTTAGATCTAGTCCTCCAGGCAGGTACCTTGCAGGAAAAAAAGGGGCAGGATGTTTCAGCAGAAACCAGCCTAGACCAGTGACTGACAATCAGAAGTGCTTGGGAAGCTCCAGGCCTCTGGAACATCTGAAGTGGCCAGTAATTGATGATGGTCCTGTAATCGCTGAGATGGACTTTTGCACTGGCCTGGGGGGTTGGAAGCTGGGAGTCCAATTTAAGATGATTGAAATAAATAAAGAAAAATCTCATTTCTCACCATGCCAGCATTTGGTGGACTGAGATTTGACCTGTCATGCAGTTGCCATTTCCAGAATGCAATTTTCATTTCCCTTCTCCTGGGCTTTGTTTGTGCTGTTGCCTCCACAGAGCTGCCCTCTGGGTCTATTCTACTTTCCAAATCCGAAATATTCTTCTTAGATGCTCCTCAATCTCAAGAGTCCTACTTCTCCCTTCTTATTCTTTCATCCTCAAACTTCTGGGTCTCTTGGCTATAGCTTTTACCACCCTCTAACTTAGAGCATCATGGTGTGGGTGAGGGATTCTATCTCCCCACTTTCCAACACACCATTGTGACCTCAGGAGGACAGGGGAGTCATTCAGTCCTTGTGTCTGCATCCACCACACACTCTTTATTGTGATTTGCGTCTGCCTGGTGCTTAAAATACATGCAATGATTTTAAAATGAAGGGCGACCCTTCTTAGAGTCTGCTGGCAGCTCATTTTCCCTTCCTACCTCAATCCCTGGACTTATTTTCTTGTTACTAACAGCAAGAAGGCACTTACTCTGTGCCACCATGGTGCCAGGTGCCTCAATGCATGCTCTTACTCCTCAGGACTGCCTTGGAGATAGAGATCATCATGCTCATTTTATAAATGAGAGAACCGAGGCTGACATATAGGAGGCAATCGATAAAATGTGTGCACAATAAATAGTGCATTTTGCAAGATCACATTCTAGAATGTTATAGAACTGGATAAGCTTAGCTTTCACCTCTGTACTTTCTTGCAAGGCTGTCTATATAATCTGTGGGACCCAATGCAAAATAAAAACCTAGGGTCCCTTTTAATCTATTAAGAATCTCAAGCTGGCCAACAGAACATTAAACTAATACAAGGGCTTTTAAGCTTGAGGCTCCGGGTGACTGCACAAGTTGTATGTCCATATCCATTTTAGCTAGCCCTGAATCTTCAATCACCATCCTCCCTCTCTCCTTGTGAAACTGGGCCCAGGCTCTCTTGGCCACCTAGAGTTTGCCTCTTTCAGCACTTCTAGAATATGTCACTTGTTTAATTTCCAGTTCTCTGAATCTGCTGCGACCCTGTGTTCTAAGTATAGGTGTAGTAATTTCCCCTTATCTGCAGGAGATAGGTTCTAAGACTCCTGGAGATGCTTGAAACCTCAGCTAGTACTGAATCCTGTATATACTATTTTTTCTATAACTATACAGTTATGATAAAGTTTAATTTATAGATTAGGGACAGCAAGAGATTAACAATTAACTAATAGGAAAATAGAACAATTATAACAATATGCTGTAATAAAAGTTACATGAATGTGGTCTCTCTCAAAATATCTTATTGTACCGTATTCACCTATCAATTGAGATGATATAAATGCGGTGATGAGATGAAATGAGGTGAATGATGTGGGCATTATGATGTGTTAGATTACCACATTAGGGTTACCTGGACAGGCACTGCATGTGATACCCAGATAATCAACCTAATATCTAAGATGTCTAGTAAGTGACTAATGGGAGGGTAGCATAGACAGTGTGGATACATCCTGGGTGGGATAGAATTGAACAGTGTGAGATTTCATCATATTATTTAGGATGGTGTGCAACTTAAAACTTATGAATTATTTTATTTCTGAAATTTTCTGCTTAATATTTTTGGATCATGATTGACTTTTGGTAACTGAAACTATGGAAAGTGAAATTCAGGGGTTACTACATTACCTGAAAGATGGGAAGAATTATAAAGGAAGTGTATGCTGTTGGTTTGAGGTGGGATATAGATGGTAGAATCAAATGTGGGCTTGTGTGAACATGGGGTTCTCACAGATGCCAATGGTAAAGTTAAGTGTGATTGAAGATATTTTGGATAAAGAATGACTTATTATAAGAATCAAATTGCTGTCTGACTTTGGATTGTAGATAGAGGAGTGAAGGGCCACCATTCTAATGCTCAATTGTAGTTGCTCCTTATCAGCATTTAGTTAAAGCCAAGAACTGTACCAAGACTTTTCTGTACTTTTTAAAAAATTTAATTCTCATAAAAATTCTCTGGGACAAATAATATTAATGTACTCTATTCACAGGAGGGTAGAGTGAGTCTAAAGTCCTTGAAAGACATGCCTAAGCTTGTATGTGCCAAGCTGGGTGCCTTTATCAGTTTTCTTTTTCTATAATTGCATACCACAGACTGGGTACTTTATATAGAATAAAGGTTAGCTCACAGTTCTGAAGGATGCATCTGACAAACCTCTTCTTGCTGGTGGGACTATGTAGAGTCATGAAGTAGTACAGGTACTACTAGCTCAGGACTCTTCTTCTAAACTTTAGTCCCTTTGGGTTAGGGCCCTAGATTTATGGATTAACTCAATACCACATTCATATTGTTTTTACCCCTTGATACCTTGCAATGAAGATTTAATTTCAACATGGCAACATTCAAACCATAGCACCGGGGTTTGGCTCATCTTATTGTGCTCAATTGCAAAGCCTTTACTCTTGTATATGCTTTTATCCTCTCTTTCTTTCACATCCTTCGAGTAGAGTGCTTGTAGAAAGCAGAATTTTGATGAGGAAAATGTTGAGACGTTGGCTACTGATGAGAATTGTCTACTTTCCCCTCCTCTTGCTCCCCATAAGGCCTCAGGGAACTCTAAATAGCTCCTTTCCCACCTCCCCTAATGAGCTAGTTTAAAATAGTTTCTCCTATGAGGCAAAATGGCTCTTGGTCCCGGGGCTCATGATGGGGGAAGTTATCTAATCCTGTGAGAAAGTGATTCCTGCCTTGCTGTTTTGTCAGAGAGGTGATACCTGAGTCCAAAGCTGAGTAATTAAAAACCCTCTTAACACCACTTGAAATCAAGTGCCTCATATGCAGCATGCTGTCTTCTATCCTCTGGGCTTGGGCTAATGATTGTCTTTAATACCAGTCTCAATTGTACTTTGAATCTCATGAGAAGTAAATAGAATGAAAATGAGAAAATCTTTTAAAAAACAGCAACATCACAAACCTACTCAAAAAAAAAAAAATTCTGCCCATAATGTTTCCCATAATTTTGTACCTAATCTGCTACTATGTGAACTTACAAAACAAACCCTAAACCCAAAATAACATGCACCATCTTGGATAGTAGTTTGGTTTCAAGTCATCATTCCTTTTTTTTTTTTTCTATGTATAACAAAATCTCACATTTACTAAAATAGCTTACAGTTAATTACATTTCATTGGGAATTCATATTGACTTTATGTGTTTACACTAGCAAGTTATCATGAATTTAGCACACCTGAGTAGTAATTTGCCTTTTTGGAGCATTGTAGAGTCTTCCTGAGTTACTCCAGATGGGCCTCCTTTCTCCTAGAGGTAGGGTGATGCAGGCAGGGATTGGGGCTGGGGCTGGGAGGTGAAGTTCACTCTTTCTTTTTTTAGGTTCTTCCATTTTTTTCCCCAGCTACTTTTGAGCAGACCACTCTATGGTGAGTCTGTCCATGAATGACAATTTTCCCCCTAAATTCCTCCTTTTTCTTTCCCATGCTTGTATCAAAAATCATTATCATCATCATCATCATTATCATCCACTATTAATGTAGTAGTAGCAGCAGCAGCAGCAGCAGCAAATTGAGTATTTTTGCTAATAGCCAAACACATTGCTAAACACCTTACATGTATTTTACTTATAATATCTTGTCCCCACAATCAAATATCCTGAGAAAAACAATGTGAGGAGAAAAATTTTATTTTGGTGCACAGCTTTGGAGATCTGAGCTCAGTCCAGAGACAGCTGACTCCATCATTTTGGGCCCAAGATGAACATCATGGTGGAAGGGCATGGTGGAGGAAAGCAGCAGCTCAGGACATGGAAACAGGAAGCAGAGAGTGAGAGAGTCAGGAGAGAGAGGAGGAGAAGGGGAGAGCTCTGCATACCCCTAGTGACCCACCTTCTCTAGCCACTCCCCACCTGCCTATTGTTTTCACCCAGTAAATCCTTCTCAATGTATTAATCCATTGCTTAGGTTATACCTCTCATAATCTAATCATTTCACCTCTGAACTTTCTTGCGTTGTCTCACATATAAGTTTTGGGGGGACACCACATATTTAAACCATAACAATATCTCCTCTAGGTTTTGCAACACTGCGAAGTAGGTATGATCTCTATTTCATAGGTGTGGAAACTGAAGCTATGAGAGGTCAAGGAACTTGCTTCAGGTCGCACAGCTGGTAAGTGGCAGACTTGTGAACCCGAATTCCAGCTCCAAGGTGAGCTCTCAGAACCACTGTGGTATCCTCCTTCCAAGGAGGCAGGCTGGAGGAAATAGGGTTGTGTTTAAGGAATGAAATCATGGATAGCTCCACGTTTTAGTCAACTTTTTGTTGTTGTGACCAAAAGACCTGACGAGAACAACTTAAGAGGAGGAAAAATTGATTTGGGCTCACCGTTTCAGAGGTTTTATCCATGGTTGGCTGACTCCATTTGGGCTTGAAGGAGGCAGACATCATGGCGGAAGAGTGTGGCAGAGGAAAGCTACTGAGCTCATGATGGCCAAGAAGCTGAGGGAGAGCCTCATTCACCTCGGACAAAATATAAACCCCAAAGGCACACCCCCAGTGACCTACTTTCTCCAGCCACGTCCTACCTTCCTACAGTCACCCCCAGTTAATCCATTCAAGTAGATCAACTCACCAATTAGGTTACAGCTCTCACAATCTAATCATTCATCTCTACACATTCTTGCACTGTCTCAGACATGAGCTTTTGGGGGACACCTCATATCTAAGCCATGACACTCCAGCTCTTTAGTTGTGTAAATTGACACTCTGTCCCAAACCTTGGTGATCAGATAATATCTTGAACAGATACTTCCTAAAGAAGATCCACTTTGCATAAAATAGGAGATTTTTCATCAGCAAGGGATTGGAACAATGAGGGGTGGTGCCCGCCTACAGTGAAATATACTCTACTGAAAAGAGGGTCGGAACCAATGTGGATGGAAGAGGGACAGTGAGACAGGTTAAAGAACTTGTCTCAGGTCATACTCTGGCTCCTAGTGCTGATTCTCAGACCTCCTCCCTAGAATACCCAGCAGGTTTCATGCATCATATGGTTGGGTAGCCAGCATCCACTGCTCCCTTCACTGTGATCAGTACCAGAATCTCACAAGGCTAGTAGGAAAGGAATGAGTTGGCCTCAGCTAAATCTGGGTTTGAGTCTTGAGCTGGCAAAATTTCATGGCTTTCCACAACATTTTAGTTCATTTTTCTGTTGCTATAACTGAATGCCACAGACCAGGACATTTATAAAGAGAAGTTTATTTGGGTCCTGGTTCTGGAGGCTGGGAAGTCCAAGAGCAGGCACTAGCATCTGGTGAGGGCCTGTGTACTGTGAAATAACATGGTGAAGGGCAAAGTGGGTGCATGTAAGACAGAAAAGAGGGCCAACCTTATCCATCCATTGGGAGCCCACTCTGTCACACTGTCATTAATCCATTCTTGAGGGCAGAGCCTTCATGACCTAATTAACCCTTTCAGTCCTAACTCTTAATATTATCACGATGGCAATTAAATTCCAACCTGAATTTTGGAGGGCCCATTCAAAGCACAGCACACACCCTCCCAAAATGGCTCTAGAGCAGAAGTGGTGGCTTGTGGTGGGTCTAAGGGATAGGCTGTGCCAAGCTCCCTCTTCCTCCTGTGGTTGGCACAGAGTAGCAGGAAGAAGCTTGGGTTCCTGACAGCCAGAGAGAGAGCACTGGACTACAAAAACTGTGGAGTTGCAGACAGGAGAGGACACAGCTGTGACCACCAAGAATCATCAGATCAGCACCACATGGTGGCTACTTGGGGGATGTCAGCCTGCCTAAGTGCCTGTCTCTCCCCTTTCCACTAATGACTTGGCTCTAGATAGGTACCCAGATCTAAGGCAGCTGGGGGAAAAAAAGAAAAGAATCTTAAACTCCTCAAACAGGGTCTTGCTAAAAAAAAAAATGGATTCAGTTATAGGAAATTAACATTAAGTTCCTTGTAACCATGATTTAGTGGTCTGAGATTCAAAGTCATCTCGATGATTATGTTTCCAAAATGATTTCCTGTTCTTTTTTTTTTTTTTTTTTTTTTTTTTAAGCAGGAAGACTCTTGTTCCTTGTATTCTTAACCCTGGGTGCTCCTAACCTTTTTTTTTTTTTTTTAACTTGTTCATTTGGTAAGATTCTTGGGCTAAATTTACTGTAAAAAGAATCCAGTTGTCTCTTGTCATTTCTGCAACAGGTTGCATGACAAACTGTCCCATCCTGTGGAAGACAGCTTCAGAATTAAGAAACAGCAGTGGCTGATGATCCCAAGGATGTTAAATGGCTTTATTAATCATAACCACAGACTAAAGGCTGTGTGTTTTCTCCAGGAGCAGAGTGAGAGATTGCCTTGTCTTCTGCCTCTCCCACTGTATAATCAAGGCATCAAGCTAAATTAAAGGAAATGCCATCTTCCCGTGACAGCAGGTGCAAAATTACCTCTAATTATGAATTTGCTAGGTACAACAGTAACTCTGCGTGAATTATAACATTGCATTCATTAAAACAACCATTTAGGGTCTTGCTCACCTAGACATGCATACAGAATCTCAGAATCCAGTGAGCTCATCTCAACTCATCCACTGGATTCTTGGAGAGCTGTACTGATCTGACAATTTGTGACCCAAAACTTTGTTCAAAGTTGGAGTCTCAGGGCTGGGGATATGGCTCAAGCGGCAGTGCGCTCGCCTGGCATGCGTGCGGCCCGGGTTCGATCCTCAGCATCACATACAAACAAAGATGTTGTGTCCGCCGAAAACTAAAAAATAATAAATATTAAAATTCTCTCTCTCTCTCAAAAAAAAAAAAAGTTGGAGTCTCAGAGAAAGGAATGCTGAGTCTCAGTCCTAGATTTACTATAGATGTGGTGCGTAACTTGAAAGAAGTCAGTGAACCTTTTCAGAACTCAGTTTCTTCATCTGTAAAAGGGAAGAGCAGAACTGTGCATTCTTTAAGGAAGTGCATCTCAAACTTTGATGTGCTGCTTAAAGTATGAGCCAAAGTCCAGAAGCAGCAACATCTTCCAAAAGCTTTTAGAAATGCAGAATCTCAGTCCCTATTCCAGACCTACTTGTTTCAACCATAATGTACATATCTATCATCTGGGAATCATTTTAAAATGCAGATTCTGATTCAGTAGATTTGGAGTGGGCCCCGGGATTCTGCATTCCAATAAGCTTCTGGGAGAGGCTGCAGCTGCCACTCCACCCACTACACTTGGAGTAGCAAGGTTTGAAGTATTGGACACTTCCTCTGTGCTATGCATTGTGCATGAATTGTCTCATTTAATCGTAAGAATGATGTAGAAGGGAGACTGTTAATAACATACACGTAATCAGTTAATGTGACACTTGTTCTTTCTCATTATTTTCCAAGGTTGTGTGATATTAGGTGCAAAGAACATAATTTTCCCCCACCCCAAATTCATATGTTGAAATCCATATGTTGAAACCCCTAGGTGACTATTAGGAGATGGGACCATTGAGAGGTAATTATGTTATAAGGTTGGACCCCTCCTGAAAGAGATTTGTGCCCTTGTGACCAAGAGGTCCCAGAGACCCAGAGCTACCTTGCTACATTGACTATGTCTGGATGCAGCAGAAGTTGTCAGTGTGCAACACAGAACAAGGTTCTCACTAGAACTTGCCCATGCTGTACTACAGAGACACAGCCACATCAATGATTATAGCAGGACAATTCACAATAGCTAAACTGTGGAACCAACCCAGATGCCCTTCAGTAGATGAATGGATAGGGAAACTGTGTCTATATACACAATGGAACATTACTCAGCATTAAAAGAGAATAAAATCATGGCATTTGCAGGTAAATGGATGTAATTGGAGAATATAATGCTAAGTGAAGTAAGCCAATCCCTCAAAACCAAAAGCCAAATGTTTTCTTTGATATGAGGAAGCTGACTCATAATGGCATGGGGCCAAGCATGGGAGGAATGGAGGAACTTTAGATAGGGCAAAGGGGAGGGAGGGGAAGGGAGGGAGCACAGGGGTAGGAATGATGGTGGAATGAGTTAGACATCATTACCCTAAGGACATGTATGAAGACACGAATGGTGTGAAAATACTTTGTGTACATATCAGTGACTTGCAAAATTGTGCTCTATATGTGTAATATGAAATGAATTGCATTCTGCCATCATGTATAACAAATTAGAATAAATAAATAAATAAAAATTAAAAAATAAAACTTGGCCATGCTGGCAAGTGGCTGGATATAGTGTGTGACTTGAACAAAATCAGTGAACTTTGACAGGGCTCAATTAGATTTCCAACTGCCAGAACTGTGAGTAATAATCTCTATTGTTTATAAGCCATTTAATTTATGGTGTTTTGTAATAGCAGCCCAAATGGATGAAGGTAAATGTTGAGAACCACAGCCGAATCGGCCCCAGCAAACTTCCAGCTGATTGGCTCCTCTGTGGTGACGCTCATTGGGCTGTTTCCCCGCCCTTTCAGACCACGGAGCTGCTCATTGGGGGACTCTTTTGGCTCCGCCCATGGGACCCAGCCAATCGGCCTCAAGAGCAGGAAGAGGTCCGGTTGAGAGGCTTGATGGAAGAGCTGGTGGTGGCAGTTGGGCTCTTAGGGAATTCCTGGAGAGCTCACTTGGTGCAGCATTTATTCTAAAAATAAAGTTCGTTCCTGCTTGACAAGTGGCTCGTGAATTGTGCCCAGCCAGACTGCGGCAGGTAAAGATATTAATTATATATTTCCCTAGGAAAGGACATTTTGAAGAGTTCCTTTTTTTCCCCCATTATAAACAACAAGCACACTTGTACATACACTTTGTACACATTGTGACTGTGGGACAGATTCCTAGAAGTCCCATGGCTGAACCAAAGGCTATGCATCATTACATTTGGATAAATTCTACCATCTCGCCTACAATCATTGGGGCTCATGGTTTGGAAGTGGTAAAGCTTCTCATTGAAAGGCAACATTTAAAATTTGAATCCTCAATTTCTTTGATCAAAAATTCTTACCCAATACTTTCAGCTAGCAGAATTATTACCTGTGAAGGTAGAGTCTCCTTGTGGTTGTTCATGGTTGTGAAATTAGTCATTCCATTGGGAAACAGTAATATGTCTTTTACAAGTTGAAAAAATAATTTAAAAAGTTTATAAATCTGGAATATCTTGAACTTATATTCACTGAGCTGGATTTCTGAAAAGACAAACCTCATATTTGGGAAAATGGAATTGCTTGGTTTCCCTGTTTACTTCACATAATTAGCCTAATCCTCAAAAGACCCTGTCTAGGGCAGCTAAAACTTCAGGAAAAAAAAAAAAAGCATTTTGATGAGATGACTGAACTCCAAATGGTTGTTTGGGGAGCCCACTTAGACTTCTGGCTGAAAGTCAAGATGTTATACATTTGCCTACATATTTAATACTATGCTCAAGTTCCCAAGCCTTCTTTGATGGATTTTTTTATTTGTGAGTCTGGGTATTTCTTCCTCCTATAAATGGTTATTTCCCTACGCAGATACACGTGGGAGAATATTTAATTAGAATTGAAAATGTTTTGAGCATGTTAAGTACAATCTAAGTGGTAAGTATCATGATCTTTAAATGCTACAATAAGCATTATAATACATGTCTAATTCACTGATGAGCACTTGGCATGTCTTTGACAAATTCTTAATAAATTGCTCAAAAGAGCCCTTTAGAAAGTGTCATTTCACACTATATAACTCTACCTCTGATATTTCTCAACCTTGTCTATCTGCAGAAATGGGAAATTCTCTTGAACATTTTTCTTAACTGATTCTGATTTATGGGCTTTGGTGGAAACTCCCAGGGACTTGTTGCAATATACTGTAAATGAAATCTGCTAGCTACACAATTTGAAAAGTGAAGGTTGCAGTCTCCAAGTTTTCAAAAGCAGCCCACTTCACCTAGACAATGAATTATGGGATCCATAAGTACATAGAAAGCCTGAATCCTGTACTTGGTATGTATCTTCAAGGGAAAAGTTGCATGAATCTTACTAAGATTATCCACCGCCCATATGTCATCTGGAGGGTATTAAGGGAAGATTTGTAGCAATTTAGTTGATTGTTAGTGTTAAGAGCAGCAATTCCTTAGCATCAAAGTACTCAATAAATTCTGCCTAAGCCCAGATCTCAAACTATGCAATTAAATTTTGGGTGTAAATAAAAGATATTTTGGAAATTAGCTAATTTTTTAAAAGGCATTAATTTAAGGAAGTCTGTGGCTACAGAGTAACTCTTAAATTACTTGAAAGTGGAAAAGAATAACATGGGGTTTGGCAGGATCATTTATTTATTTTCTATTATGTGCTCCAAGCTAGATGTTCTAACTGCAAGTTTTGATAGTATTTAATCTCACTCTTCTGTATCTGCATTACAATATGTGAAAAGATTAAAGATAATTATACTGAAAAGTAAGTGAAGCTCAAAGATGTTAGCCTGGTTCACCGACTTCCAAAAAGTAACCTTTTTATTTTGAAATGACTTTAGATTTACGGAAAATTTGCAAAGATAATATGAAGAGTTCCCGTATATTTGTTACCCTTCCCCCTAGCGTCTAGATCTTACATAACCATGGTGTAAGTGAACGTTGGTACATTACTGTTAATAATTAAAACTCCAGAGTTTAATCAGATTCTTTCTATCTATCTATCTATCTATCTTCATCTTTCACTAATGCCTTTTTCCTGATCTAGGATTCTATTTAAGGTACCACATTACCTCAAGTTGTTTTGTCCCCTTAGTTTTTACTAGTCTGTGACAGTTCTTAGTCTTTGTCTTTTCATGATCTTGATGGTTGTGAGGTGTATCAGTGAGGTATTTGTAGAATATTCCTTTGTGTTCATCTTTTTTTTGTGTGTGTGTGCGTGGGTGGAGTGGAGTAGAGGGATTGAACTCAGGGGCACTCGACCCCTGAGCCACACCCCCAGCCCTATTTTGTATTTAATTTAGAGACAGGGTCTCATTGAGTTGCTTAGTGCCTCGCTTTCACTGAGGCTGGCTTTGGACTTGCGATCCTCCTGCCTCGGCCTCCCAAGCCACTGGGATTACAGGTGTGTGCCATGACACATGGCAATTGAGGTTAATCTTGATTTTTTTTTTCTCATGATTAGACTTGAGGTTTTGGGGAAAAACACTACAAAGTTAAAGTGCTCTTCTCATCATTTCAATCCTATCATGCAATCCTGCTTTCAACATAATATCACCGGCAACATCAACCTTGATCTCCAGGTTTCTGGAGCCACAATTCAGATCCCTGGAAGAGCATTTGACGCTAGATTAGTGATGTCTGCCATGAGCATAGAGGTAAATAATAGTGGTTCCCACAGCAGATAACCTCCATCCCTGACTTTTCCATAAGACCATCACTTTTTGCACATGAAGAAACAGATTTAAGTCAT